TAACGTTAACAAAAGACCTTGACAGGATCATGTAAACTATATTGGATGTCATGCTTGGGGCCTTACTGCCAGCAACATTATAGAGTTGTTTCATTAAAAGTGAATACTGTACACTGAATATGGGATAACTTTCTGCAGCCTTCATAATCTCACACAGTAAATATAATTTAGAGTTTAGGTACAGAACACACTCGGGTGTCACAGCTGAGTGTGTCCCTGTGCAATCTCTTTCATTAAGTCCTTATGAAGCTACAAGTTGCAAATCCAAAATTCTGCTCCCTGAGGACACAGCTATGTGAGACATAAGTACTGTTTTCATTCTCTGCCTCTCCTGAATGCTCTGTGAACCTAATCTTAAATACCATCATGTAACAATCACAAAAACTTTTGCTAAAGGCCATATATACTAATAAAAAGACAGTGGTGCTTCCAACATTCTGAAAGGCTCTGCAAAACCAACTTTTCCAATACTAAATACAACAAAATAACCTTCATAAAATATAACTTTTCTCCATTTACATTTTTTAAAGGATTAGTAACCTCTGCTTCTCAAGCACAGGAATCTGCGAAATAACTCCTAACATGGACAGATTTTTTTAATACATAAATTAAGAAACTGGAGAGTTTTAACCCGAGTCCAGTTTCTAGACAAGGAATATTCTTGTTTACTTTAAAAATGGAAATGACATATTATTTCCATTATAATTGTTAAAAAGTTAGCTTTACAAACAAGGGTACTTTAATTAAAAAAAAATTCTTAACAAAACTATACAGTGTACAAATTACTGTCTACAAGGTAGGCGGTTCATTAAGAAGATCCTCTGTTCTTCTCGCTACTTGCAGCTTCACAGATTCATTCACATATTTTCAATGGAGCTGCCCACCTGAACATCACCCCACAACTATATTGCTATAATTAATATTTTTGCCATGTCTTTATGTACAGTCTCCTTCACTGCCTTTTTTTTCCTTAGTCAAGCCTCAAACGTTCATGTCACTCCAGGGGAAACACACTTCAGCGGCACAGCCATGAGGCCAGGGCTGCAAAGCAACTTAATAAAGGCAGAACAGTGCACATAGAACGGGGTGGCTTGATTTAGTCAGAATACACTTCCTGGTGAAGGAGGAGGCTACAGACTGGATTTGAGTCCTCTGTATTTTCTTAATCTTATGACTTTTGAGCATTTTGTTCTTTAAAAAAAATAAAAAAATTAAAATAGGCCTTTATATTATAGAGGCAGGCAGAAAAACCCACAGAGTTAATCAACAATCCAGAGAGGAAAATTCATTCACATAGAGTGAGTTTGCCTTAAAAAATTGTGTTGATTTGACTGCATGATAGGTCAAAGACACAAAAAGTTTAGTTAAGACCATCCACTGTCTACAAGGATAAGAATCATATAAATTATTGCACTTTAAAGTCTGAACTGTCTTGGTTTCATCGTGCTGCGTTATTCAGAGTTAAAGGGGACATCTTACTGAATGGGCTAATCAGTTCTCCAGCACATAGCCATTCATTATTAAGCGATGGGCTGATAGAACAATACGAGGTTTATTTTATCAGGCCATAGCCTAAGGGATCCTCAAGGTGGTGGTCTACATTTCGGTTACTCTTAACAGCAATTTATTTAGTGAATGAATTCACTTACCATGGGGCTCAGAAAAAGAGCAACATAAAATTGATTTTTTTTTTTTTTTTTTAGCTAAATATAAATCTTAAGGATTTTTTTAAAATTTCTAGCTTCTCTCTCTCTCTCTCTCTGTTGCCTTTTAGGCCTTGACTACGCTGCTTTCTTCTCAACTGTCCCACCAGTACAACTCCACTGAAGTGAAGATAGTGGGAGCTCTAATGGAAACAAGATGCTGGCACATGCCACATTCTTAACCACTTCATCATTTCCATTTGCTTTGAATAGGGTTGGGGATATATTAGTGGCTTCAGATAGCGCAGCAGTAATGTAAGCATCTTGCTGCCACTAGAACTCTTAGCCATGCTACCATTATTAGAATGCACACCACCGGTAGTTTAATGGGGAGAAACTTTAAGAAAATACTTAGTGTAGGGACAGCCTTAAAGGGCTGAATTATCCATGGCCAAGGTGGTGGGGAAGAGGAGTATCCATTTAATGGACTTATTCCCCACTCCATTTGCACCTTGGACTTTGATGGGAAAATGCACTCTAAGCGAGCCACAACATGAAGCCTATACATGTATAAGATGTGAAGCAATGGCCCACTACAAGTCTGGAAGATTTTTACTGTACTTGAAATAAACTTTTATTTACAGTCTACTTTAAATCTATTCAAGTCACAGTACATAACTGCAACTTTCCATCTGACCTTTTGCACGTGAAGAAATTTTAAACCTCTGGCACTGGTTTGCTAAGGGAGATGCCTGAAAATCAGATGCTTTGTGTAACTAAACTAAATTCTTTGACATAAAATAAAGAATAGTGGCTGGTCATTTAAATATAGGGTGCCAAATTCTCTGTTGGCATAGCTATTTTGGAGTTAACAGAAGTCAATCGAGTTACCCCAGCAAAGAATTTGGCCCAGTATGTGCCTCTCATACAAGAAAGTATATTTCCATGTCATTCTTAGCTAAGAACACACACTAATGTGTACATCTGAGGATGTAATACCTTTGCCAAAAAGAGAAACGTCCCAGTCTCACTGTGGGTCTTGACCTCTCAAAATAATACTAATAATAACAATAATAAAAAGAAGTAAAAACAATTTTCTCAAGTCAAGTCTGCCTCCAACAGAATCCATTATTTTTTCCTAAAAAATCCAGAAATGAGTTCAGCTTGCACCCCAGGTGGGAAGTTAAAAAGAGGGAACCTATTTGAAAGTTTGTCACAGTAGGCAGAACAGTCGCTTTGCAGCCCTTGCCTGGCTTAGGGTGCACTGCTTCACAGCTACACTGTAAAGTGTTAAAAATCCTCCCCACCCACCCCAGAATATATATATATGTATAAAAAAAAATCCCCTGTCCATCTCTCAGTACACAAAAGGACCTCATCACACTGCAAAAATAGCAGTACCCACTTTGGTCAATTAAAACAAACAAAAAAAGCATACATTATTCTTTTTTTTCTTTTAAATCTGTGTACTTACCTATAATAACCAATACAGCTAAAAGCACTACCTACATAGGCAAAACTTGGTATTGCATAATTCGTATAAATTTGAATCCCCCCCCCCCAAATATTAATTGGAAGATGAAAAACATGAAAGGTTAATAGAAAAAACACCAAAATACTGAAAATATTGCTGGTCGATTACAATTTTTAAGCGGCAACTATACACAGCCATGATATGCTTTATAAATGTGAGATAAAGGTATAACTGTCTAAAAAATCCATGATGTCACACTTTTTCCCATCTGGAGTACAAAATATTTTGTCATAAAAATGGTAAAGATTTAAAATGATAATAAATGCAGCAAAACAAGTGTAGTGATGTCAATTTTTTTGTGATTTTTTGTTTTTGTTTTTTGTGGTTTTTTTGTTTTTTGTCTTTTTTTCTTAGATTTCAAGGCAAGGCACGTAATGTGGACATTATATCTTCGTGCAAATTAGGATTACTGGAAAGAGTATTTTAATTAATTAATTAATTGATTGATTTTTAAGAGACATCGAGGCAAAATTTGTCTGCCCATGCACATTTATAGGTCTGTCAATATGAGAAATTTGTTGAACAAGGCTAATTTCTGAAAGCACCATGCAAGTTTTCAGCACCCTGTGATTAGACTTCTTTTGAGAGTGCATTTTTAAATACATTTAACACCCCCACCCTGGTATTCCCAGTTTGTAAACTATAAGCTTTGCCCTTGTGACATGGATTTGCCTTTCTCTTTGTCTCTACAATGCAGATTTTATAGAACCTTATATACACCCTATGGGTTCTTGATGCAACCAGTAACTTTAAATAAATAAATCCTACCCCTTAAGGGGGGGGCAGCAGCTAAACCAACATAAGTGCTGTGTTTCTATTAATTTCTTCTTCTCAAGGACATGATTTGTCTTGATTTAATGCCTTTTAATGCCCTCAAAAACTGAGGGGAAAATAAATTTGTTCAAAGTAATTTGAAATTCTTTTCTTTTAATCCCCTCAATTTAGAGTCCAAGGGCTGAAGGACTTATAATGATGTTCCCCTTTAGATATAATTTTTAAATTGCACTTGCCTCTGTGTTTCTTTAGTGGGGAAAATGCTAAATTATTTCTTACTGTTGCATGAGGAGATAACACTTTTACCTACATAGAGGCATTTCTTCCATAGAGTCTGCGTGTTCATACTGACTTTGAAAATTCCAAACTGGGTAACACACTAGAAAAGGCTGGGTTAAGGGCCAGTTTAATCAATCTGTACTGATTACTAAAGGCTACAGAGCTTATTTTTTCAAACTTTTAGAAATCAGAGAGTTGAGAAAATGGCTGGCTCACAGCCCTTGTCCTCCTGCAGCTCTGTTGCTGCTGCCTAGCCTTTGTTTTGTGAGATAACCAGGAATAGTGATCCCATGCGTAAACAACAAGAATACTAAACCAATAAAACTAGCTTATCATGCAAATATTAAGGCATCTAGAAAGTCAGTTAAAATATATTGTCAGAGACAGAACATCTATTTCCCAGCAGACTTCATACAACAAAGGCTACTTAGCAGGGGCTGCATTTTACCCATCAGTGAAATATCATCGACCCTTTTTATGTCATTACAGTTTCAACCATAAGGGAATTAGTGATTGTAAGTGCTGCAATTGCTGGTCTATTTTTCTTCTATCTTCAGTTTCATTTTTTGTCCTGTCTTCCTTTCTTTTTTCTTTTCTGTTTTTTTTTTTTCTTTTAATGTTTCTTTTGTTTCATTTTCCCTCAGTTGCTTGTTTCTGCTTGAAGGAAAGGCTCTCCAATTATGTTCAAACCATAATTTTGGACATTTGTCGGCAGGATTGGTGTCCTGTTTGATACTTGAAAAGGAACCAAGCTAGCCCAGGTACCAGGACTGTGGAAGGAAAAAAAGAAAAGGGAATGAAACAAAATTAAGAATGTTGCAATCATAAATATATAACTCCATAACACATTTGATTAAGAATCAAACTATTATTTATTGTAAATAAGATCAATTAAGATGGAATATTTTAACTGTTTGGACTTCTATTTTGTACAGTTTCCTTTGCAGAAATGTAACTCACTTGAAAGACAAAAGTAAATGCATTAATACAAATTGATAGCAGTGTTAATACAGTCATGAGAGTTGAGACAAATTGCAAAGGCAAATTGGAACAGGTGTGAATATATGTGGACTCATCTAAAACTGCGGATGTGACTTCAATAACTAGTCAATCCAGTACAGGGCAACCTTATTAGAACACAAAATACAAATTTAATCTGTAAAATACATCTCTTCTGTGATGTATTTGTTTTCCAACCCTTCAATCGCACACCCTTCAATCACACAAGCTTATTACAGCATGTGTCTATGTGTTGCATGAATCCAACATGGAATGCACTCTTAAGCAGATATTCCTAGCTTTCATGAATGAAACCATACTATTTTTTTCAGAAGTTTTCAAATGACTATCAACAGAAATGACTTTTGACCTGGAGGGATGTGGGCAGTGGGGTCCCCCAGGGCTCGGTCCTCGGACCCACACTGTTCAACATCTTCATCAGTGACTTGGACAGGGGGGTAAAAAGCACCCTATTCAAATTTGCTGACGACACTAAGATGTGGGGGGATGTGGTCACGCTAGAAGGGAGGAATAGGCTGCAATTGGTTCTAGACAGGTTACAGGGGTGGACAGATGAGAATAGGATGGGTTTCAACACTGACAAGTGCAAGGTGCTGCACCTGGGGAGGAAGAACCAGCAGCATACCTACAGGCTGGGGAACTCCCTTCTCACCAGTGCAGAGGCAGAAAAGGATCTTGGAATCATTATTGATGCCAAAATGAACATGGGCCGACTGTGTGGGGATGCGGTCGGGAAGGCCAACCACACCTTGTCATGCATCCACAGATGCATCTTGAGCAGGTCCAAGGAGGTGATACTCCCCCTCTATGCGGCACTGGTCAGGCCGCAGTTGGAGTACTGCCTCCACTCCTGGGCACCGCACTTCAGGAGGGATGTGGACAGCATTGAGAGGGTTCAGAGGAGGGCCACCCGCATGATCAGGGGGCAGTAGGGCAGGCCCTATGAGGAGAGGCTAAGGGACCTGAACCTGTTCAGCCTCCACAAGAGAAGGCTGAGAGGGGATCTAGTGGCCATTTACAAACTAGTCGGAGGGGATCAGCAGGCATTGGGGGAGTCCCTGTTCCCCCAAGCACTACCAGGAGTGACTAGAAATAACGGTCACAAGCTGGCACAGGGTAGATTCAGGCTAGACATCAGGAGGCGCTACTTCACAGTCAGGGCACCTAGGACCCGGAACCAACTTCCAAGCGAAGTGATGCTGGCTCCTACCCTGGGGGTCTTTAAGAGGAGGTTAGATGAACACCTTGCTGGGGTCGTTTGACCCCAGTACTTTTTCCTGCCATGGCAGGGGATCAGACTTGATGATCTGCTCCGGTCCCTTCCGACTCTACCAACTATGAAACAGCCAAAGAACGCCAGATAATTTAGGGACCAATCAAACAAACTTTCTGCCAGGGGTAGCAGTTACTACAAGAAGCATTTTTATTAAAATTAGAATCTGGTAACATTGTTCAAAGTTAGCAACAGTCCCACTTTCAAAAGCACCTATACCTATATCTCAATGACTTACAAGGATTTACCCAACAGGAACTAACAGAAACTAGTACTGTATTCAAGAGTAAGCATAGGCAAGATCAGAACTTTATTCACAGCAGGTCAGGTTTCCAAACATGCTCACTGCACAAAATTAGGACCAGATTCTCGAAAAGGCTCTTTGAAAGACCTGAGCTGTTATGGAGACCCATTCATTTAAGATGCCGAAGTGGGAACTGATGGAAAGTTTGACCATATTTGTTTACAAATAGATAGAAATCATTATGAAAGAGACCATTACAAACAAGTGGAAATAAACAGTCATAATAAGGTATGCAATTTAAGCAGGCATTTACTTTGTACCTCTGCTACAGCAAATATAAGTGGGTGTATGCATACTACATATATCTGCAAATGCAAAATACTTGTGTGTACTTACGTGGTACCTGGGTATCCATACATATGTATACCTACACATACACACACACACACACGATATGTGAACATGGCAGATATCTAATTTATACATTTCTTGCAATGCAATTATGTAAGTTTAACTTTGAAATCAGAAACCTGGGGTTTTTTTGGTGAGGAAATGAGGGACACTATGAAGATCCCCCCCCCCCCCCCCCCCCATTCTTATTTCTTTGATCATTCCTTTATGGTCTTTTGTCAGATGTGTCTACATGTTTGCTAAGTGCTAGAGAGAGTTAGGAGTATGCATCAAGGGGAAAACAGACTGCTTTTATGTATCTTAAAATGTATAAGAAATCATTAAGATTACATTTGGTAATTTTTAAAAATCTTCTCAGCTGCTGCCATGCAAATAAAGAAAGAAGGTGAACTTGTTTTGAGAACCCATTGAACCTGTACCTCAGGCAATTCATACTAAGGGCAAATAAAAAGTAGTTTTTGCCCTTTACTCAAATATGATTTTCTCCTTCATCTCTTTAACTTTATACATTATTTGGTGCCAACTAACTTAGGTGCTTAACTTTACACACCTAGCTTTGAAAATGTTGCCCTATCAACACAATTTTGCCCTCTTTAAAATAAGGTAGCAGAAATAATCTTGTCTCAATGAATTCAGTGGTTAATGTCTATAGAGACAATATGACCCAATGACGTCTTATAATGTAAAAATCTTTGAATGCTAATGGAAATCTCAATAAAAATCTGGCCATAAGCATTTACTATTTTTACATAAGTCTTCATATCAGTAAATCTCATGCAACTGAATGATGGTCTCTGATTTTTTTTTTTTTTGTCAAAAAGATTCCCACATACTATTATGAGCCCAGTGTTCTTACTGTTTGCCTACAGAAGGAAGATTTTTAAATACAAAATATGTCCATAATGTAAATTGTAAACCATGGATAAGGAGTGAAACACATTTACATGTGAAAGATTTCCACAAAAGGATCTCTTTATACATTTTGTGACCATCATATCAATGTAATGTTGATGTCAACTGTCTTAGATAAGCTGTACATTACAAGTCATCTGGTGGAGCCCATGATGAGTATGCTTTCTTGATGGATCCCCACAGATGGAGATTAAGGCTGCTGACAAACATGAAAAAAAAAACAAACCAAACAGCACTTTACCAAAAGAGGAAGTGCATTAGTTTGACTCGGCTCCCCAGCATCTGTACAGATTGGGCCCTACAGCAGGGCTTTGTGGCACTTTTATCTAATAGCTGGTTCAAGTGCACAATCTATACAGATGTTGGACAAACTGGGTAAAACTAATACAACGCCTCTTCTAGGCATGCCCTGTGCTCAGTGCAGGGGTGCAACAAGCTTAAAATAAAGCACTGTTTGGTTTTGGTTTTTTCCACATCTGTAAGCAGCCTCAGGGTCTTGCTCAGCATCACACAAGATGTCAAGGTAGGGCAGGGACTTGGATCTGGGTCTCCCAGATTCCAGGCTAGCACCGTTACCACTGGATCATCATTCTCCCACAATGATATCTAATAATCTTATGGTTCTAAAAATATATATAAAACCAAGACCTCATCAAAGAGGTTCAATAGTTACAACATCTTCCCACACTATGCGTGTCCAACATTGCATTTTCTTGTTCCTTACTCTATCTTATATTGTACATGACACAGTGCAAAGATGTATGATGCAGTGACAGCTAGTAAAAACAACCCAAAATCATTTCATACTAAAAAAGTATATGGGGAATTGTAATAATAGGAAATGACAATAAAGAAATGAATTGGTAAATAAATATAATCTAAAGAGACATTGCTGAGGATTTTCAGTCATTAGGCTCTTAAAACAAAATAGAACACTAACTAAAAGAATAAAAATTCTATGTTAGGTTCAACCTAGGATTAGAAAGTTAAATAATTTGCATTGTGAAGAAGACCAGATACACTTCTTGCACATTATCTTTTAGAGAATTCACAGTATACTGGCTAGAAGCTGATGTGACCTTTTTTTGTGTTGGTTTTATTTTAAAGTTAACAACCTCCTAATGACTCCTCTGGATGAAAGAAATCAGTTTATTCTGATAAAGAACAAATTACTATAGCTGCTTTTTTGTTCAGTACTTACACAGAGGAGACACAGATCTTAATATTTTTGGAAAATACTCAATAAAAATAAATTGCAGTAAGTGACTAATAGGACTGCTGTTGCAGTATGACTAACAAATTTAATTTAGATGTTTATTTAAACCTTTCAAACCTCCCATCTTACATTATGACCGTGTCAAAAATGTGGTGTGCAATATATTTGTCAATATTGTTTATGAATCCTTGGGGAAGAATAAATCTCACATGTTAACACTATTCAGATCCCACATGAGTTTTACAAGCATCTTACTACTAGTATGTAGTTTAAGTTAAGAATTCTAAGACATAGACCATGCTTGTTGCCTAGTTTATACTGTTAGGAATAATGGTGAACACTACTTAATGCAAGATGCATGCACGATATAGCACTGCAATGGTATGCTTTGTTAAGAAAACAGAATCACAGGCTAGGCACATAAAAGTTTTTGATCCAAATTCATATTCTGGGCATATTTAGTCTGGAGAAGAGAAGACTGAGGGGGAATTTAATAGCACCTTTCAACTACCTGAAGGCTGGTTACAAAGAGGATGGAGCTAGACCAGCGGTGGGCACAATACAGCCCGTGGGCCATATCTGGCCTGCCAATTGATCCTATCCAGCCTGTTGGCTGCTACTGGAAGCCTGAGGAGGGAGGGCTGAGCCCCACACCGCTCTGCTCTGCCACAGCCAGGGCCAGGCTGGGCTGTAC